TACAGGTTATCATATATATACATTTATATTATAATATATATATATATTAAATAATATTTGCATATATATATATATCAATATATATAGGATGTATTATGTTTGTGTGTGAGTATATATGTGTGTTTGTGCCCGTGGGGTTGCTCAACCTACAATTGAATGGCTATAGGTTCTGGACCCACCCGTTGTGCGGCCCTTCGAGCTATCCATTTAGGTGAGGAAATCATTTTTGAGCAGCAGCTTGGTGAAACCTCCACCAGGTAATGGGTCGGCTGACAACGACAAGTGAGTTAGTTGAACTCAATCCATCCACCAAAGCTAGGAAGGGACTTTCTCGGCCGGAGAATTATGTTTTTGAACCATTTTGAACCTACTGTAAAGATAGTGAAAAGAATGGAACGTCCACCAAAAACCATTGGCTTTAAAGCAAACATTGACAGGCTTGAAGAGCAACAGTGAGCATCAGCTGATCAAAGAGCTGAAGGCCACTGTGGACCATCTCGAGGACCGGTCAGCACGGAGTCACACTGCAAAGCGATTTGGTTCCTTCAAGATCCACGTCCGGGCATGAACCGCAAAAATGCAGAGCCAAATTGGATGGCCTTGTGAGGTTTCCAAACTGATTTAGTTCCAGTACCTGGAGCTGGAGCGAAGAGGTTCCCAACTAGACCATGAAACGTTGTAGAAGGACACCTGGTCCAAGACATGTTTCTCAATGTATGTTGTTATACTTTGGGGGTCACTATTTCTTCTTGCGGCGCACTGGCCTCTCGGGCTTGCTGTACCGGGTGAGGGTGTCCACGATCTCGCTAAGACCGCCTCCATGATGCCTCATGCTTTGGCCAACGTGACCAACCGATTGACCAACCTGATCCAGGAGTTGAAGCAACGCGCCAACGACCTTTACAAAAATGGAAGCCTTGATGAGGCCGCTGGGCCAGGGATAAAGACTGCGTCAGAAGAGTTTTAGAAGATACATGCGAGTGGGTCGTTCAACCTGGAACCTTGGTCCAGCTTGACCTTCCGGGTTAGCAAGGTATCCTGGTGCTATGACCGCCAATCTTAGTACGCCCTTGATAAGACATATATAGACTCACGTAAGGCTGAGGAAAACACATGCGTTGCCGCTTCTCTTCTCCGGCGTTCGGAAGAGAAGAGTGTATTCAGAAGCATGTTGTCCACAGGGTTTCAGGGTGCCCACAGGCCACTCACTTGTTGACATGAGACGACGAAGTGAGGCCATCCAGCTCTATTCTGCGGCCATCAACCGCCACTGGGTACCGATCCAGTGTGGGTTGTGCTTGTGGTTGTGGTTGTGGTTGTGGTTGTGGTTGTGGTGGTGGTGGTGGTGGTGGTTGTTGTTGTTGTTGTTGTTGAATTGACACATAGCCACATTTTTTGAGCCAGCATTTGCAAGTGGGATTGAGTAGATCAACTCGACTCCAATTGGCTGTGCGAGGTGTCCTCAAACATATTCTGTGGCAACCGCTCAGATACTTAATCATGAAGGATTGACGAAACTCATTGGGAAACTGAACGGCAAATGAGTTGGTTCGGTGTGCGTGGGGCCAGTTCAATTGGAGAGACGCACTTCCGTAGGCCTTTCAAATCCTTCATTTGATTATATTTGATGACACTCAACCAGCCAACCGCTAGCTCGCGAGGTGATCCCGATTGCGAAGATACGCGCACTGTGGCCACACTCTACTACAACCGCTCGGCTGCCTTGCGGAAGAAGGGCGAGTTTGAGAAAGCCCTGGATGATGCCAATATGGCCCTAGCTCCTTGGACGGAGCACCCTCTCACCAAGAAATGTTGCGTCGCCTCAACCGATTGAGACCCAACTTAGTTTCATGACACACATTTCCCATTATTTGAAGTCCGGAGGACAAGTAGAGGTTTATACTTTGAGGAGTTCGATCACATCACAATGAGCGGTTCTGAATGCACTCCTCCGCTTAAAGGGGAGCAGCAGGGTGACACAGCTTGCGCATGATCTCCGCCAGGAAGGAAACGGTTTCTATTAGTTATATTGGGAGATGCTGAAGACATAGGTGGTACGGGACGTGTTTTGTCCTCAGTATATTTGTTGTATGCTTTGGAAGGTCCAGGTACTTGTTAGGACAGTATGTATACACGAAGGGACTTCAAACCCATCTCGTCACGTGAAGAAGTCCGCGCGCCTGACCCGAGACGCTCAATCTATCCAGTGAGGCGCTACACCCCAAGTGGACGAAGGCGCTCTACCGGCGGGGCATCCTTTTGTTGGAGTGTGGCCGCTACGCAGAAGCCCTCACAGTGCCCCGCCGCAGCGGGCCACCGCAGCGCCGCGCTGTGCGTCGGGGGGGGATGTGAGCCGTGTGAGCAATGTGAGGTGAGTGTTGGATCGTTGCGTGTTGGTGTTTTTTTCTGATACGATTTGAGCCAATTTGGACAGATTGTTGGTGTTATAATCTTTGCAGTGATTTGATCTGCCTGGGAGCTCATACTAATACCGCCGGTCAGATATTATACTTGTTTGATCGGATAAAACACTCTCCTCACATCATTCACTCAGTTTGTCAAAGGAGCTGAAGGTGGTGCAGCGCGCAGATCCCACCTTTGATGATGACCTACAAGATTGGCTGCGCCGTGCCCACAACTGGTTGTCGAAGCCCAAAGGCACCACAAACTACTACAAGCTCCTTTGCTGGGCGAAAGTTGTCTTCAGGCCGGTGGAGGAGATAAGTAGGCAGCCAGGGGAGATCCAATTGATAAAGGAGGCATGTTGCGGCTGGAGTCCATGGGGAAGCTGGAGTCCATGGGCTTGTTTGGCCCTCCAGATTGACCCCACTCGTGCTATAGATGATGTAGGATGATGTAGGATCGAGGATGGCAAATCCCGAGAAGAACTCCCCGGAAGAGTAACCTGCGCAGCAGCTTGAGAGCCGTTTCGAACAGCTGAGTTACCCAGTTGCACAATGCAAAAAGGCAATGGTTTACCTCTTTGGCGGCCAGAACCTTAGGACCTTCAACCCAAGGCTGTCGAATCACTGTAGAAACAGAACCCCGTATTCGTGTTTGGGAGGGCCACTGGCCACTCCTCTAATTACATGACCAATGAGTCAGATTGCAAGAATCTTCCGAGCCTTTCGAAGAAATTGAGAGATGGTCACATGATTTTCAACCCTTACTTGGGGATGATTGGACCCTCGACTAATATTTCTCAAGTGGGTTGAAAACATCAACCAGTTATGTTGAGCTGAATGTCCAAAGCAGGGGCTGGAAAGTGAATGGGGTACGGTTGGGTTGGGATGGGCAGGTCAAAAAACAGCTAGAGAAAATCAAGCATTATTAGCCTTGAAGTAGTTCTTTGCTCGATCAGCCGATCAGCTGTTTCTACCCCACGCAAACCACGCGAGCAACAAGACACGCGGTCCAGATTGAGGCTCATGGCTTTGCCGATGGATGCCAGCAAAGACGACATCCGAAAGTGCCTGGGCAGATTGGAGTCCGAACAATCCGGAAGAATGACTTTCGCCCCAGCTCCCAAAGTGTCAAGTTACATGTCACAACACATGAAATGTGTGGACACATACAGTGTTGTTTCTATTGAGTTCAGTCATTCAACACAGTTACATCTACATATATACATCTACCAAAGAATGTCGTGAAAGGAGGGATCTTGTGAGGAGAGTGAGTGTACCGCAGGCTCTTGACTGGTTTGGTGATTGGGTCCTCATCAACCCTCCCCCAGTCTGCATGGTTTCACATCCCCACCATGTACTTGTTGTTTCCTGCATGGGAAGGCTGGCTGGCAGCAAAATTACCACTCCCCATGCACGGTGTTCATTACATCATCTCGGTGCAGGAGTTGCTCATCAACTGTATGAATCTCACACCACCACTGCGGGGGGCTGCTTGGCCTCCCGCCGCACCGGTGGTGCAGCGCATTGCGCACCCAGGCAGTACCGGCGGCTGTGCTTGCAGTGGCACCCCGACAAGTCGGAGGGCGGGCGAGAACGCTTCGAGGAGCTCCAAGTGGCGCACCGATTTCTGACGGATGAGGTGCAGAAGGAGGCGACCGAGGGAGGGAGGGAGGGAGAGAGAGAGAGAGAGAGAGAGACCGCTGTTTGGCCGGCCGCGGGAGAGACACGGGAAATCTCCGCGGATTTGTTTTTTGGGAAGGTTCTTTTTTACGTCATGATCAGTCATGATCTTGCGCATGGGTTAATATGTGTTAATACGTATGAAGAACTGGGGAAACTCAGGACATTTGAGGAAGATGCGTGTTTTTATGTGTTTTTGTTTTGTCACAATTTTTCTTTGGTTGAGCAAGCCCTAAAGTCAGGTGATGATGGACAATAATGATCGTGTACAACATTTGTAACTTACTTGATTCCTGATGTGAACTGGCCCAGACATGCGGACCCACTTGTCATTGAAACGCGCCTGGCCTGGCAGATCAAGAGTTCAAAGTTGACACCTCCAACTGGATGTTCATTGTTTAATAAACAGCAGTGCTGGGTAATGGGTAATGTAACATGTTTTCGGTTCCAATGGATCGGACCTTAAGATCCTTAAGCAAGATCGAGTGGGGAAGTGTTTGAGTTGAGTGAAGTTCTTACTGTTCAAGTCCATTCGAGGGGATCCTTGAGTTCCATGGCCTTGGATCCTTCATGGATCGAGTAAGACTCCATGAATGAATGAAGTGTTTGTCATGATTCGCATGAACCACTTTGCAAGGTTGACATGTCTCATCCAGATGGATCTGGCAGGAGTATGATTTTGGCATTTGGCTCGATCGCCCTGCTCGACATCATACCAAGACGCTCTTTTGGAATTAGAGCGTTTTAGGCACGTGAATTGCCTTCTTTACGAGGAAACATGGACCGAATCGAGGGGAGAGAACCAAGTAAGGGGCCTCAAAGAAGAACATATTCAGTTTTTCATTCAATCCATGTTTCGACCGGAAGGGCTCCATTTCATAAGTTTCTCGTATGAATTCTTTTGTTCTCTCCAGGCGCATTTTTGTTGCAGTTTCCAGCAAATGTTAGTTCCAGTTGAACTCTCCAGTCGGAGCTATACAAATATTCACCACCAGTCTCAGGGCCCATGGGGGTGCAGTCACATCGGCCTCCAAGGAAACGTGAGAAAGTCAAGGACTCCTGGGATGACAAGGCTCCGGACGAGGGTCCTCGTTGCTTGGTCACGACCGGAGTGGAGACGAACACCGTTGCAAACCGTCCCACACCCATACCCTCCATGTATGGAATATACATGGACCTTTTTGTACTGACCCCCAAACCACCCCAATGGATCGGCAAATATATATGGCAGAGTATATGGCAGTCATGGACGAGCGATTTGGGAGAGGCTTTCAGAGGATCTTGAAGTGGAAGATGAGGTGGAAGAAGATCTTGAGGTGGAAGATGAGGATCTTGAAGGATTTGTTGAAACATGAGGGCGAAAGATGGGGGAAGGTGAGGGCTGTCCTTGCCTTCCTTGGCTCGTTGGGTCAACGTAGGCAGGTTATGCGCGGGTTGGTGGTACATGGCTTGCTTCTCTTCTGGCTGAGGAACTCATTACAATTGGGGAGACCGGCACCTCATTGAGGATGAGAAGGTGGAAAGCATTTACTGGGGAGAGGCTGGGTGTCCAGCTTGGCTTCAGGAGAAGAGGAAAGAGCCTGGGCGTCGATTTGGAAGGGTTTTGCAACAACCAGAAATAACATATCTTTTGACAGACGTGTACCTGAAATTCTACTTTCGAAGCATCTACTTTCTATATGTTGCATTTCAGGTGGTAAATCTGAGAGATTGTGAGTCGCATAAGCATATTTCATGGGCGAACTCCTGCCATCGTGTCGACTCTTTTTTTGGTGCCTCACTGAGGAGTTCCAGCGAAAGCAGTTTGGAGATGACTACATCGTGCCATAAGAAGTGGCCAAAAAGGTCCAAGTGGTCTCGGCCGATCTGAAACTGTGTTTTTTCGGCATTCCCTTCTGTATTCCTTTTTGAGGTGAATCGTGCAAGGTCCCCACCACATGGGACGGCCAGTCGGCCAGTCGAACAGATCCGCACAATCGCGGACCTTAGATTCTTGAACCCTCAGGAGCCATATAGGTTGGATTCCAAGTTTCAATGTTCCAAGAAGAAGGCTTGCCGGCTTGCCTTTTTGGATCTTTTTTGGCAAGTGGTGATCATGCAAACAGGATTGAACGGACACACAGGATTGAGATCAGCCACTACAATACACATTTGGCATTCACCGCAGGTCTTGTATCATTACTCCGTGTTTTAATCCGGTCAAGCCAGGGACCTTTTAAACACGGGAATTGCCATTCATCTTCAGATTCAGGGCATGTGATTGATTCATCACTTTGCTCACTCACTCTCATCCCACGATTCCATGATTCCTTTTCTCGGTGGCCCGTTCAGCCACTCCACCAGGCTTTCCCAACCCACGCACTCTGAGGAGCTTTGTGGACTGGGCCCGTGGCAGTGGATACAGCTACGAGTGGTTCAGCACAGCGCCTGGTCCTGTCTGACGCTGATGCGCCCCCGAAGACCCTCGCGCCACACGACGTGCGCCGTTCGTGACGCGTTCGTGACGTACCAGTCACTGCCACGACTCTTTGTCCATCGGATGGCGAATGCACCCCCAGAAGGCATGCGAAATCGACACATCCACCTACGGCCATGCAACGGCCTACCGCCAAGACCATACAAGCAACTGCAGGGGTCGAAATCGCTATTCCCTCGGGCTACAGTGCTCCAGTCGTACCTTTTGAGAAGGTGGGACTGGAGTGGGTTTGGAGGGTCCAAATACCTTCTGAGGAGGTACGGCTGGAGCCCTAGGGAAGGGTTGAGGGTCAGGCACCAGGTAAGATCGACGGAATATCCACCACAAAGGCAGAGAATATAGAAGAAACATAAGAAACACATATTCTGATACTGCACATCACTTCTTCCAAAAAGATGTCTCATGATGACTCCTTGTCACCGTGTCACCATTTCCTCCAAGGTGTCTTTGGAGGAGTTCGCCGCTGGACGGGAAGCTTCGCAGTTTTTCCGGTCACCGCAGTCTTTTTTCTCCAGTGGCGCCGCAGGGTCACCAGCGACCACACCCGTGAGTAGCACCTGTTTCTATTTCTTTTTTAGGTAGCTGGTGCTTCAGAATGTTCTGAACATTAACATGTAGAGCCAGAATCCACAGTAGTCACTCAAACCATTTGGTGGTAATAAGGAATCACTGGGCATCACTGCCACCTCGTCGTCCACCTTAGTCCAGTGATTGGTTCAGTGCTTTGCTGCTTCAGCCGTTGGCTTCGCTGGACGGGGCCGCCGGGTGATCAGGGGTTGCAATCCAACACCCCAAATGAACAGCGTTCAAAACCGAAAGAACCACATGATCCGATTTCAACTGCAGGGACAAGGCCAAGACCGAAAGCCCAACCACTGACCGAGCCGCCAATCGTTTGCTCCCGCCCCCCGGCGGTTTTGGGGCGGGCCTGGACGTGTTTTGGTTTGGCACGTTGAGGCCAAGCAGCCCTCCGAGCTGTAAGAGGTCGGCCAAGCGGGGTTCGTGGGTTCGTTTCGGTGGAAGTGGCCCGAAGTTTCGGTGGGAGGTCTTCGTTTCGGTGTTCCAAATGTCTCCAAGCGTTCTAGGGTGCTGGAAGTCACCTGCAAACGCCGGCGAAAGTGTTCGATATCGATGATCAGAATGGATGGTCTCGGGTGGCTACACCACGCGAGGGGTCGGACCCCCAAAAGCAAAAAGCGTAGAACAACTAATTAATATTATTGCCTTAAGTTCAAATGCCCCGCTGCAAGGTCAGAACTGTTCATTTGTCCGAGTTGAAGCTGCCAGTCAGTCCCAATCCCAATGGGTGGCCGTTGGCTTGTTTGCTTCAAGTATCGGAGGTCCAGGCCAGTGCCCTGGCGCTCATTTGGCAGGAAGCTGCTTGAGCACGTCGCCGGCAGATTTTGCACAGGTCCCTGAGAGACCCCCCAGTGAATGCGAAGAGTTTGGCAGCCTTTTTGTGCGCAGATACTTCCAGAAGTTTCAGACTGTATAGAACGCTCTTAAAGTTCTGGATGCCATGAAGTATACTTCAGCTCATCTAAATTAGTTTGGTATAAACCAAGCCGCCAAAGAAAATGACGATGATTCCTTCGACTCCTTGTTAGCACTTCTTTGGAAGTGAGCCGATGCTTGCCAGACAGGGGCAAAAAAATCCGCGCAAGACGGACTGCGCGGACGGCGCTGGCGCGGACTGCTGAGGTGCTTCCAGAAGTCAAGAGGATGTAAACCATGCCGATGCTTTACGAAGCAACCGGTGAATGACATCGGCAGTCTACAACTTGCTCTTTGTCCGAGTCGTCCGAGTCTCTCCGACCTGAACCCGTCCTTTCTCGGTGCGGCCTGCGGTTCAGGGCAGAACAGACATCACTTTGGGTGCGATGTTCACTTGAATATCTTGAATGTTTAACCAGCACTGACTGATAGGATTGGCGCGACCCCAAAGAACATGAATTAGGTTGGCATTCCAGTATATAAGTCCCGACTTGCAGGCTCCTGCGTGGGGACAAAACGACTTTGCCGTGTCAAGGTGTAAGGTTCTTTTTGGCTGGGAGGTGCTGCTCAAAAGCGTTACTTTACTTCTAAGTGCATAATAGTAGGACAAAAAACACATACCTGCTTTGAGGATACCAACTGCCTGGTTCGTTATTACGTGTTCGTGCCCAGGATGGGCCTCATACTAGCAGGAAATCAACACGGGGCATGACTTTCTGATCCATAGATAGATGTGCTGCACACCTCTTTGGCTTGACTTGCTGGAAGCACCTCAGGGGGTGTAGTATAGCCTGGGGCCTCGTCAGTCACATGGGCATTACATGAAGAGAGACCCTGAGCATGTACCACAGCAGGTTTTACCATTTGGTTGCGTGCAAGTGCAAGTGCCTGAACATGATTTTCCTTGTGTGGGGGGTTGTTGTTACCTTGAATGCGTTTAATGTATTTTAATGTGAAGATATCATCACTAGCTATATAGTCCCAGGAGATCCAAAAATAGTTCACGAAAGGTAGCCCTTTAGGGGATACCTTGAGTTTGTCTTGCGAAGCAAGTGTTGGGACGTCCGGGTCTAATAATTGATCGCTCAATTCAGACCCCCCCCCCCCCCCCCTTGGATTTGTTTTTCCATTACAGACCCCCCCCCCTCCCCCCTCTAAAATCAATTCTCTCCTGGAGAACGTCTTCGTGAGCCTCTCATGATTTCAGGATAGTTGAAACCCATTGAAACCCTCTTGAACATTCAGAAAAAGTGAATATGAAATTCTAATCACGAAAGGTGTTCCCCGAGGGGATACATACCTAGAGTTTGTTTTGTGAAGCACGTCAATTCTCTCCTGGGGAGCGTCTTCGTGAGCCTCTTATGGTTTCAGGATAGTTCAAATCCTATGATGTTCCGATTCAATGCTCACCGATGATCTGAGCCATGGGGCAAGTTTGTTTTCCTAAGAATCTTTTTTGAACATTTCGAGAGCATATGTTTGAACATTTAGAGTGCATATGAACATATATTTACGAAAGGTCGCCTCCGAGGGGATAAATCACCATGTCGAACATTGCATTTTTGTTCCTGCCTCTCGCATTCTCTTCTCTTCCCGCTGTCCTACCTTTCGTGTCTCCCTCCTCTCAAGTTTCCTCGTAGAGGAACATTGGAACATGTCAAACCAATAAAAATCAAAAAACGTTTCGCTAGCCGCTAGCCACATGGGTCACCTCAAAGGCCTTCCCTGAGCTAAGCCAATTCCAATTCCGGCTTGGCGGGTACACCACCACGAGGTTTACTCCCCCTGGAATCATCATGGAAGCAGAAAACCATGTTTTTATTAGAGGACCATTGTCGTCCGAGGGGTCATTTCCCACTTCCATGATATTTCCAGGGAGTGTAGATAGATTTTGTGTGGATGAATCTTTGGATGATGCAGGGGGCTAAGGTCCAGCCAACCGAGTATCCAAATGATAGCACACTGTGCATGAGGGTTATGTCGTGTCTTGGCGGCCCGTTTGGCACTTTTAGGTCCGATTTTGGATGCGCGAGTGCGCAGGATTTTTCCGTGAAACCCTTTCACGGGGTAGAGCGCAGCATGCGTTTCGGACAAAAAGAATGAGCAAATTCCTATAATTGTTGCTGTGAGATTGTGCTTTCGCAGCTTCAAAAGCTTACATAGCGGTAACTCGCTCCTGTCTCGAGCTCTTACGTACCAAGCCTTCGACGGAAGCCGCCGGTGGGTGAAAGGAGTCCAGTGAAAGCAGTCCAGCAGGTCGGGTGTTTGGCTACCGCAAACACACACCCAGACGCTCCATGGGACTGCCAGTGGGACTGCCATATGACTGCTGGTCAATGGGGGTGGTTTGGGGGGGTCAATGGGGCGGCATAGTTGTAGGCATATATATATATATATCATACATGGAGTGTGTGGGACACGCACATTCTGTGGTGACACTTTTCCACTAAAGCAGGGCACGTGTCCATGCGAGGTTGAGTGATTGAAAGCAACCCGAGGAGTCAAAAGCGTTGCATTTCGCCCTGGTTTGCGTGGCACTCCGCCCTTGTTTGGTGCCAATGCCTCCAGGGAACTGTCAACGTTCCGTCGAAGGCGGCACAGCATTGTGCCCAAGCGAATGCTCCTAGTGTGAGAGCCGTGTCAGTGATCTACAAACTCAAAAGCACGACACTCTTGAATGTTGTGGCTTGTTGTTTTGTGGTAAGTTCTACTTTCTTGAGGGCGGTCTTTCATTCATGGACTAAATTGTTGATGGAAGCTTGGTTTCTTTCCCCTGGCGGGCGCACCTGACTTTCAAATAAAGCAACAAAGCCTGGCTGAATGCTCGGATGCCCCGACAAAGACAACAAAAAAAACACACAAAACAATTT